CTAAGGAATAATGAAGTCTCTGGTGCACTGCACTCTAAGATTAAGAGAAAACGGACTCAGGCGTCCTGAAGCGAGAGAAAACGGGCTCCTATGATGGGGGACACAAGCACTCACACGTGCCACTCATACTGACAGACTTGACACTCACTTACTTGACAAGTTTTACCAACCATTAGTTGTGTACGTTATCTAGTGAATTTAGTCAATATTGTACAGTACAAGTACACTGCAATACAGTGGTCCCTCGGTTAACAATGGAACAAACCTGTACTGTACATGTACTAAATGATTACGATACTTAAATTGTTATGTCTATTGCAAATATAGATTGTTTATACTGTACAGGTATTCAAATAAATCACTATCTTATAAGAATCCCAGTAATGTAAGTTATATTCACCCAGGTCATTTGGGTGGCAAATTATGAGAAGAGCTTAGTCACTCTCACGCGCCAACTGTCAAATCTTATCTCAAATAAATAAACAAACACCAGACACTCTGTCACCTCACCTCCTCACCCCCTCCCCTGCACCCCCTTCTCCCGCCCCCCCTTCCCACGCTCGGCTGGCTACCTCCCTCCTTGTGTTCCCAGACAAAAGATTGGTGATTTCTTTATATTTATTTTATATAATATCTCAGACTAAAGTTAGGATAATATAATTTGCATTGCTGAAATCCTTGCAAGACAGAGATTAATTTGAATATAAATGTCATATATTTTGCTCGAGAAAAAAATTGTAGTACATTAGTGTATAATACTGTAATACATTTTATAATACAGGTATAAAGTTTTTCAACTGTATTTTTGGGTAGATTTACATAAATTTCTTCATTTATTTTCATCCATTTACATGCACACATCATACTAAAAGACACGTAAAAGAAATACATGACCTTAGTGCAAAGCTGGAGTGCACGTACTAATTTGATTACGGTACTAAAATTGTTATGTCTAGTGCGAATTAAACTTGTTTATATTCAAATTAATCAACATCTTACAAGAATCCCAGCAATGTCAATTATATTCACCCAGGTCATTTCACTGGCTTTTTATAGGAGAGAAGCTTAGTCACTTAAGAACTGATAAATATACACGCGTTAAACCTGGGCCTGTGCCAACTGTCACACCGCTCCCCTCCCCCCACGCCCCCCTCGCTCACTCCCTCTTCCCCATCTGCCCAGCGTTGCTGGAATCCTTGTAAAACAGTGAATAATTTTAATATAAACGTCATGTATTTTGCACAGGAGATAAAAATTAATCACCTGTATCACATACACATAAGTATAAATACAACGTTTATGTGATGATCGGACAACGTCCATTTCGATTAATGTCACGTTTCCAAGAACGTATCTAGGACGTTAACCGGCGCATGACTGTATGTACAAAAGATTCATTATTATTTATTACTGAATATGAATTTGATTGGATTAATCTTTATATGTGCGAAATGAACAATAAAATTCATTAATATGTAGAATATTAAAGCACATGAGGAGACAAGACGGCATTGTTTTCGTGAGTGACAATGGTTCTACATAAGAAACTGAAGAAAATAAAACCCTGGTTGCAAGTGAGGTAAACTTAATGTAAAAAAATTTAATAATAATAATAATAATAATAATAATAATAATAATAATAATAATAATAATTATAATAATAATAATAATAAACGTTTTATTAAAAAAGTTTGCAGCCCAAAGGCTGAAAATATACACTAGACATAAATGACTTATTACATACATTGGTGGTTTAACAAAAGCCTTCATTAGAGAAAGGTGAAGGAACATACAGTGAACATACAGATTAATGTTTACACACGTGGATCATGTAAGCTTAGGTGTTGAACAGCAGACACGTAGTGTAGTAACTCCCTCACAGATGGCGTTATGAGGGGCATCACGTGGAGTACTAGTTCCCTCACAGGTGGTGTTGCGAGGGGCCTGATGTGGTGTAGTAATTCCCTCACAGATGGTGCATGAGGGGCCTGATGATGTAGTAATTCCCTCACAGATGGTGTATGAGGGGCCTGATGTGGTGTAGTAATTCCCTCACAGATGGTGTTGTGAGGGGCATCACATGGCATAGTAATTCCCTCACAGATGGTGTATGAGGGGCCTGATGATGTAGTAATTCCCTCACAGATGGTGTTATGAGGCGCATCACATGACATAGTAATTCCCTCACAGATGGTGTATGAGGGGCCTGATGTGGTGTAGTAATTCCCTCGCAGATGGTGTTATGAGGAACTTCACATGATGCTGCAGCAACCCATTCACTACGTGGTGTCGTAGCATCGTGGGGACACCACGTGGTCTATTGTCACAGGACTTCACTCACTCAAGTGGGTGAGGTGTGGTCCCAGGCCTCTCTATCGTGGAGTCTCAGGGGAATTATCTCTGGGTACCTGGGACCTCACTGTGTGAAGGTTAGCTTGGGTAAGACTCAACTGTAACTGCCGAGTTGTTTTTCACTGATCTTAAGCACTGTTCACCACTATTCAACACTGGTTCCATTCCTTTCCCAAATGAAATAGTAACTTATGGCGAGATCTTGTTGATATTCCGGTGGGGAGGAGGGTTCAGGGGAGGGAGTTGGTATGGGCCAACATAATAGTTGAAGTGGCTGCTGCTGAGCAGCGCCAGGTGCGTTTGACCCGTCTTGACCCGTCGGTATGTATGTTTTAAGTAATGTTAATAAATGGAACACTAGAAGTAGCTAACCACCAATGGTAAAGAAATAAAGCGAGACGATTGGGAACGCCAATGTATGTACAGTAAGTGCGTACATGTGAAAACATATCATCATTTCTCTACACATGAATATGAAAGCAACACTTATTTACTGTTCATATATGTTTTAAATAATATTTACGAATGTAAAACAAAAATTCTACTCACCAATGGTGGTAAAGTCTAAAACATAAGGACAGCCAATGAATATTGTGCGAGTTTTTACTCAGATGACGAAGTCATCAGGTTCAATTCTGGCTGAAGCTGTAGCTTTCCATAAAGCTGTTGTTGAAACTGTTACTGAACCTGAAGTTGCTATTGAAGCTGAATTTGATGGTGTAGCTGAAGTTGGTGGTTTAGGCCTCTGAATAATAAAGCTGTCAAAAGAACCTTGCACAGCTGCTTTCTTTTCTTATTCTACATCTTTATGTAGAGGTCATTTGTGTTTATTTAAGTTTTAATGTTTTGTTCTGTTAATCGATCCACTTCAGAAAATATGTTCATTGCCTGCTCCATATAATATCCACAGACCTCTCACCTTTTTTACATCGTTTTAACACATCTAGTTTCTCGGCTAAGCTTATACACTTTCTTTTAACTTTTGAAACTACACTACCATCACTTGCTCTCTTGCTCATGTTGAATAGGGATGCAAAAATGGTGTAAGAAACCTGAGAAAGTTTTTCTCCTTTTCCTGTTCAGATGCGTGAAAACAAAGGGTCCGCCAGCTGTGATTGTTTATACTAGTGATGCTGGCATCACCACTAACAAGCCCGGCAGCCTCCATGCGCAAGGCTTTTTTTTTATAATATTGGGAATTAGTTACTATTTATAAAAAAATTTAATATATATTTTTTAATTTTGTCGTAAATACGAAGAAAATAATGGCGTAAATTGAATTGGGTCCTAAATTAACCAGGGTCTTGGATATGAATCTCCGTTAGTTGAACCGTCGTTATCGGAGGCTTTACTGTACTGTACTTGTATCCAATCTAGGAGCTTTTCTATTGAAAATTTTATATTGTCCTGAAGAGATGGAGACAGCTTGATTAACATGATATCTTAATCTATACATACAGTATACACTTTGATTTCATATATCAATAAAATGATATGGTGCATACAACTACCCTGCAACAATTTCACTGAAATACATAAATCAAAACTACAGTATATACTGTATGTAACAACTAATTACTTACTTGGGTTGCATGATGTATCAAGCAAACCCTATCTTTCATTTTATTAATACCCTCCTGTATGTGTAATTAATAATTTATATCACACAAAAGTAAGTTATACTGTATACTTCAACATTAAACAGCAGTGTAATATAATTCTAGGCAACAACAGTAACTTTTAGAGTAATACTTGATGCATGAGAAACAGACAACAGAGGTACAGCAAAAGTTGGCAGCCATGGGTTTACCTCCTTCCTGTGATACAGTAAGATCCTTGGAAAATCCTGAGGCATTTTCTTCAACCCTTTAGAGGGTAGTGACCCACTTAGGAATTGTATTCTGGTTAATGCCAGATGATTTTATTCAGCAATCCCTGCCTCTCAAAGGGTTAAACCTGTGCCTTGCGATGCCCTGATGTATATATATAAACTTATACAACCTCACTAATGAAATTAGTTATTCTAATTCTTACATAGTTCATATATTACACTGCACTTGTTCCTAATGTATGTCAGCACAACAATTAAAATTCCATATACTGTACCCTGTATTTCTTTAAGTACAAACCAGTAGTTAATGTCTTCTATATTATGCTAAAGAAGTTTTGCTGTATCTTCATATTAAATATAATTTCACATTTAATACTCTTTTCTGTAAATAGTATATTGTGATCATTAAGGAAAATAGTTTGTGAAAAATAATAATGATCAAGAAAAAGCACATCTTACTGATGGAAATGCAATAATGATTCATTAAATGCATTTCATAAAAGGAACTTAAAAAATTAGCTAATTTTAATCGCATATTCTGTATAAAAATAATAGTCTTCACTTTTACAATATTGTATTACTGAATTCTGTCAAGCGATAATGTTAAAAGCTCTCTTATGACAAACAACAGAGTACTGTTCCTGTACTGCATTTGCTGATTATATATATATATATATATATATATATATATATATATATATATATATATATATATATATATATATATATATATATATATATATATATATATATATATATATATATATATATATATATATATATATATATATATATATATATATATATATATATATATACAGTATATATATATGCAAAACATTATTGCCTTACCTTACTGGTGTATAAAACTTTATAAATGCCATCTTTACTCCTTCCCAATTGATAACAACCTATTGCACATGACTTTTCCCATCTTTCCATTCTCCATCACAGTTGCCCAAGGCAGTCATCACCTCTCCATCAGCGTCCACCTCCTTGGTCTTGGCAGTAATCACCTCTCCATCAGCGTCCACCTCCTTGGTCTTGGCAGTCATCATCTCTCCATCAGCGTCCACCTCCTTGGTCTTGGCAGTCATCATCTCTCCATCAGCGTCCACCTCCTTGGTCTTGGCAGTCATCACCTCTCTATCAGCGTCCACCTCCTTGGTCTTGGCAGTCATCACCTTTCCATCAGCGTCCACCTCCTTGGTCTTGACGAAGCGCATTTTGGTGTAATCATCAATGACTGCTGTTGCTCGAGATTTCTTCAACTTATGTGCAGCCTGGAAATGACATGCCAAGCTGGCTTCAGTTAACCAAGGTAACTATCACAACCTAAGCACAAAAAATATATTTTTGTTCCCCCGTGATGGTTTCTTTCATTGACCAATAGCACCACTTGGTCTAACACTCATACCTAACAGTGGTAACATGCATATCTCTCACCTCAATGTCATGGGTTTAGAGCCCAAGCCCGGACACATATGGGAAAGGTGTTATCCAGTGTGACCCTAGGTGTAGCAGACAACTACCAAACAGGGAGGTACTACCGCCTGCGACGATATTGGAAGCATAATGTGTGTCTAATGGTAGACCCTGCTGCCATATGGCATCACGAAAATTGTGACCAAGTCCCAGGTTGCTGATCTGACTTTCTGCCTCATTTACACACAATTGCAGGGTCTCAATTGTTTCTCTTACTGTTGACAACACAACAAACATATACAGTTGTACCCCACTTAACGCGGTCAATAAAACCCAGAGGGAACCGCGTTAAGTGAAAACCGCGTTAAGTGAACAACAGAACATATGGGATTAATTCCAATAGAAACCGGCCCGACCCCCAAACTCCACTTTTTGACGACACATAACTATGTTGTAGTAAAAATAACATCTTAATTTTATGATGGTACATGCACACAATTAATACTAAAGAGAAATAGAGAAATACAGTCGCCAAGTTAATGTCCATTCAAATAATGGACTCAACTCCCTCCCCCTCTTCTCACACTACACTGCTGGCTCTTCCCTCTCTGAGAAATTTTTTGGGGAAAACCACTAAAATTTTAATAAATAATACCTCAAACTAAAGTTAGGATAATACAATTGACATTGCTGGATTCCTTGTAAGACCAGGAATATTTTGAATATAAATGTCATATATTTTGCACAAAAGAGAACATATCTACTCAGAGTAAACATTTTATCTAAAATTTGTATGTCTAATGCAAAATCTATGATGTTTATATTCAAAATGATCATCAAATTATAAGAATTCCAGCAATGTAAATTATATTCTGACCGGGTAATTTGTATGAATTTTATGAGCTAAAACAAATATCTTCAGTTAATAAAAAAAAAAATATTCTTCACAGGGTAACAGATGGTCGGTCGGTCCCTCCCTCCCCCCCACCCCCCACCAACCGTCCCAAGGAGATGTGTGGGAAAACCAGAATATTTAACTTTTTAGTAATAAATAATACCTCAAACTAAAGTTAGGATAATATAATTGACATTGCTGGATTCCTTGTAAGACCAGGAATATTTTGAATACAAATGTCATATATTTTGCACAAAAAATAACATATTTACTCAGAATAAACATTATATCTAAAATTTGTATGTCTAATGCAAAATCTATGATGTTTATATTCAAAATGATCATCATATTGTAAGAATTCCAGCAATGTAAATTATATTCTGGCCGGGTAATTTGTATGAATTTTATGAGCTAAAACAGGCAGTCAGGCAGGGTGGCGGGTGGCGGGTGGGGCAAATCTAAAAATAGCGTCTCGAGCCGGACACTCACCGCGTATATGTGGAAAAAATCCGTGTTAAGTGAAAGTTCGCTTCTGGCGAGGCACCGCGTATATGAAAAAACGCGTTAAGTGAAACCGCGTTAGGCGGGGTAATACTGTATTATTTCTCACTCTGATCTTATTTTCATTTTGTATTTCTTTATGGTTCTTTATTATTATTATTATTATTATTATTATTATTATTATTATTATTATTATTATTATTATTATTATTATCACATTTTTGCCCCCCCAGACCCCGATGTGGGTCAGTGACCTGTGCCCGGGTGGGCTAATCCCCATAAAAAGAAATTTAATACAAATAAAATAAATATCTCTGGTTTCCTCCGAGTACTCCAGATTCCTCCCACACTGATATTGGACAATAAAGTTCATAAAAAAGTTTAAAAAATTAGACCAACTGCCTGAAAGCTAATAAGCTGATAATAAGCAGTGAATTAGTAAATAAATAAAAAAATACAGTAAAACCTTACCAAAGCAAACCCCGCTTAAGCCGGACAAAATTATTTGCCCCCCCCCCACGAGACACTGGAAGATGGTTAGGCGGGGGTGAAGGAATGTGGAAAAATTACACCACTGCTGACTGCATAGCAAATGTTAAACTGAACCATGATGAAATCACTAACAAGTATGTGAACTCCTGTTGGAAGGCCCTATGGCATGAAGCAGTGAATATCACTGGCTTCCCTTTAGTGGAGCCCCAGATCACACGCATGGTGCAAGTGGGGAGGGATTTGGTTACACACAACCAGAAGAAATCAGAGAAGAACTGCTTGGAAACACTGGCAAAAAGTCAACAAATGAAGAACTGGCTTCTTTACTAAAAGAAGATGAGCAAGATGATCAGGAACGAGATCTTGGTCTGGTTGATTTAGAGGAAAACATCTGGACTTAAGAGAAAATTATTCTTTTTTTAACACTCTTCAAGTAAGGAAAAAAAGCACTTCAGGCATTAGACTCATCTCTAGACCGAGCACTGAAGATAAACTGGGGTGAGGACCAGGTACCAGCACCACTCAACGAAATCTACAAAGATCTAAAGCACCAGAGTTCTCAGCTCCCCATCACACTTTTCTTCTCCAGGGTTCCCAAAACACCAGCTTCAACTCCATCTTCTGCCACTCCAGCCACCCCTGCATCTTCTGTCACTCCTGCACTGTCATTGTATCACACCAACACCCTCCACTCTTTAACATGTCCTCTGAAGATGAGTATGACCCCCAAGCTCTCTCCTCCCCACCACTCTTCCCTGTCATCCCTGCCTCCCCTGTTGAGGCAGACGAGGGTGAGGGGCAGTGATTATCATCACCAAGCATCATCTTCACCACCATCATTATCTTCATCATCAACTTCATAGTCATCATCATCATAAACATCATTCACCTTATCTACAACAAAGGGAGAGTTGGCAGGGGGAGAGTTGCCAGGGGGTCATGAGTCAGGGGGAGAGTTGCCAGGGGGTCATGAGTCAGGAGGAGGGGGTCAGGGGGTGAGTCAGGGGGAGAGTTGCCAGGGGGTCATGAGTCAGGAGGAAGAGTTGCCAGGGGGTCATGAGTCAGGGGGAGAGTTGCCAGGGGGTCATGAGACAGGGGGAGAGTTGCCAGGGATCAAGAGGAGTACAGAACAAATGTTTGTTATTTCATGTTTATGTTTATTTAATTAGGTTGTTTATTTAATGTTTATTTAGTGTTTCATGTTTATGTTTATTTAATTATGCTATTTCATGTTTATTATAGTGTCTTATGCCCATCATATCATTCATTATATGGGATCTGTACTAATCATCATTGTCATCATAGCAAGAAGATCCAGGATGAATGGTGAGTGTTCAGATATTCATACAGCAGAGGTGGTTGTGTGGTGACATTTAAATTAAAATAGGCCTAACCAGCCATTGCCAGATGTGCTATTGACATACTTCTCAGTGCTTCCACACTGACGATCACCTCCCATACAGAATACACACCCATGCTCTTCATATTTCTTATTTTATAGTTTTATAATGTATTTTCCAAGTCAACTTACAGTACTGAAATGGTTTTTCACAAAATTTTATAATTTCATTATATGTAACAATGGCACCCTATCACTCCCTCATTCTCTAAGGCTGGGCAAGGAGTGGTAAAGACCATAGAGACCCCATGCTGCCAGTAATGGAAGTTGTCAGACGCAGTACACAAGCTCCCTTGCTTCCCATGCAACCTGTAGTGCAATCCGCAGAGGGGCCTTGGTCGCGTTGTTTAACCTTTGTTTAAGGGATATATGTACATAATGTCGTTATACATGTGCATATACCTATTTATATTTACTGTATTTTGCACATTCCATGGTCCATTTTACCTAACCCCCATGAGCTCTAAGGGAATACTGTACTGTATTGTACCACTATTAAGATCAACCTTAGTTTGGGTGGCACTGCAGTTTTTAATGGGAAATCCCCTAGGATTGTTATGTGTTTACAGTCCTTGGGATTTACTGTACATAAAGGTGTTGTGTTCCTAAATGTTTTCATAAGTTGTTTGTTCAGAACTTAGAACTTAATTTCTCATAGATGCAGTGTTAAATATAGACAGTGGTTAGGTTCCCAAGCCTATTTAAATTGATAAATATAATTGAGGAGAGAGAGAGAGAGAGAAAGAGCATCACTTGTACGGTGTATTCATTTTGGATTGAAAAATTACCAATACAATGTAGACCAAGTTCCATGCTGTATGTCACAGCTTCAGTAGTCAATCTTGCATAACTTGTATATGACTCAGGCAGAGATATGACCCTGGCATGTATGACCAGGCTAAGTTGGCCTTCGTGTAAGCATTTTGAAATTTAATATACTTTCCTTCAAAACTGAGGGTTTATATAAAGTTGGAAAGGATTACATAAGTGTCCTTATTACTATCATCTTTGTTAGAAAATACTGCTTCAAAGAAATACAAAAGCAACACAATCATAACTTAAGACACTTCTCTGCAAATTAATACTAAAAACCAATCTCAAATAGAACAAATGACAACTGGAAAGACCTCACATCAATAACTTCAAACATTATAAATATAAATATATTGCAATCCTTTGTGATAAATCATCAGTTTATTCTGTACAATCACAGAAAAACTCTTAGTCCAACTAACAATTCTGATTAGCTTTTTCTTTACAGTAGGCATGGATTCAATCATGGACCATTTCTTCTTTTCAAACTTTGTCTGATCCTCTTTAGTTTTTTTTATATTTCAACACGTGTCTACTTTATTTTATCCAGTGCTGATGCAATAACTGCCTGAGCAAATGCCATCTTTTATGACATCTCTCTTATTTAGGCCTTCCTTAATTTTGGGGGGCTTTATCTAAAAGGCTGTTACAACAAAGGACATATGTTAGAAAGATTCCTTCTGTGCAAGTGATTCCTCACCTTTTTTTTGCAAGAGAGTTCAACTGCAGCAAGCTTTCCTGCTTTCTATCTTCCTTTT